AGGTATTGTGATATAAACCGAGTCTGTTCTACAGTTTCCCATTAGGCTGAATGAATAACCGACTCTAAATGTAGGTATTGTGATATAAACCGAGTCTGTTCTACAGTTTCCCATTAGGCTGAATGAATAACCGACTCTAAATGTAGGTATTGTGATATAAAAGAGACACAGACAGAAAGAGGAAGAGAGAGAGAGAGAGAGAGAGAGAGGGTAAATACACAATGAAGAAAGTAAAGCTGTAAAAGTCTGTGATTATTACACCCATTAGGGGGTGTAATAACTACATATTTGTCCTTATTCCACCTTTTCTGCTGCTCAGCTGCTTCAGATATGTGAGATGTTCCTCTGGTAGATCTTCCAAAGCCACCCTGGCCACAGATCAGTCCTGTACACTCTCAGCCGCGCCACCCGGTTCCCTCAGCGTCGGATCCTGATATCTGAGTCAGCCGCTGCTGATGTCAATTCAGATGCGGTGTTGATTTAACCTTTAGCGCTGCAGGAAAGAGGAAGCGCTCTGCTGAAGAGCTGTGTTATTGTGTCAGGACTGCAGACAAAGGTTACAATAACTGAGGACATGTAATCCAGAACCAAATCACTGATGGTGGTGGCGCACATATCCATTGACGTATATGAAAGATAAGATTTTCTTAGCTGGGTTTGTTCCAGGCCCGGGCACAGATGTGTTTTATATGGCTGTTCTTTAAAGAGTAACTCCACCCTAAGACCCTATTTTTCATTACCAGCTGAAGTGCACTGCTCTGTAATAATAATATACTCCAGCCCTGCTAAGAATGTGAACACATCTTTCCAAACTGTAAAAATGTTGTTTTTATCGTGGTCAGTTCGCCTCTGCAGCGCCCCCTCTGGTTCAACTCTGCTATAGGCACGGATGACGTGTTTTCATACCTAAGTATGATGACACATCACATTATGCAAATCAGTCAACCAACGTTACTGCCCCCTGATGACGCCCTACTTGTGCTGCGCTCATAAATATGAAAGCATAGGAGCCGAGAACGAGGAGAGAACCACACTCACGCGCTGAGCTAAACACCCCCAGCACCTCCTCACAAAGGCTACATTCACATTACCAGGCTGAAGTGGCACAAATCTGATTTTTTGCCCTAATGGGACTCAGATCTGATGTTTTCAGGGCTGTGTGGACACAAATCTGATCTTTTCAAATCCGACCTGGGCCAGTTTGACTACGTTCACATTGGAAGCCTCGTTGCTCAAATCTGAATTTTTGCTCAAATCCGATCTCTCTGACATGATGGTTCACACTTGTTTAGGTAAGTGACTCTAATTTGTCATTAATGTGACAAACCGGCGTCCTGAAATGACCCTCATGAGCTCATCCTACTCAGTAACGTCACGTGAATGAATCACGTTCATCATCAGCACAAACTAACGAGCAGAACGAGCTTCGCTGAGAAGATCATTAACTCTGATCAGCTCTCAGCTTCATTATTAGAGCGAGACGAAGGAGAAAAAGGTGAGATGAGCTGCTTTTCCACCGTTTACAGGCTTTAACTTCTTTCCGGCGCTGCTGCCATGGTAACGCTGAATGGTGGTCACACGCAGTGGAAAAAAACACATGAATTCCGATCTGAGTGTCACATTAAGGTCGCATGGCCACGAATCGGATACGTATCCAATCTAGGACCGCATATGAAAGTGGCTCAGGTCGGATTTGAAAAGATCAGATTTGTGTCCACACAGCCCTGAAAACATCAGATCTGAGTCACATCTGGGCAAAAAATCGGATTTTGTGCCACTTCAGCCTGGTAATGTGAACGTAGCCTTTCATATGTGGTCCTAGATCAGATGTATTTGATTCGTGGCCATGCAACCTTGATAAGCTCAGACCAGAATTCATGTGTTTTTCTCCACTGCGCTGTGCCATCATTCAGCGTTACCATGGCAGCAGCGCCGAACAGAAGTTAAAGCCTGTAAACGGTGGAAAAGCAGCTCATCTCACCTTTTTCTCCTTCGTCTCGCTCTAATAATGAAGCTGAGAGCTGATCAGAGTTAATGATCTTCTCAGCGAAGCTCGTTCTGCTCGTTAGTTTGTGCTGATGATGAACGTGATTCATTCACGTGACGTTACTGAGTAGGATGAGCTCATGAGGGTCATTTCAGGACGCCGGTTCGTCACATTAATGACAGATTTGAATCACTTACCTAAACGAGTGTGAACCATCATGTCAGAGAGATCGGATTTGAGCAAAAATTCGGATATAGTGAGGCTTGTATTATGAACGTAGCCAAAGTTGTTAGATTAGCACGTTTATTGTTAATGTTTAATGTAAGATTAGGTAACCTGGCGGACCGACTGAGTGAGGATTCTTGCAAGTGCCTTGAGGACAGTCACTTTATTTATTCGGAATTCGGTGCATCTGAAAAATCAGGACTCTGGTTTTATTGAATATGGACCTGCTGAACAAATAATTAGAAGCCAGCTGTCGCGGTTTTAGGGAACGCTCTACCGTTCGGCGCCTCTGCCGCTCACTGCTAATCATGTTCTGGCGCTACGTTGACTCTGGCAGTTTGAGTCAGTGACCCATACTGTTAAGGCTCAAGATGCACTGCCTGATCAGAAGCACCTTCCCTCGTTGAAGCGGGGGATGGTAGTAGAGAGAAATTGTCAACATCGTAAGACTCTCAGTTAAAAAAGTGCCGTTTGATTCTGTCTCTCTCCATATTTTCTGGTAGCTAACGTATGCTAGCTCTAAAAACACAGCAGCCCAGCCCACCCGGTTTCTGTCGCCCCTCCCAGCGGACCCCTCCCATTTTTGAGCATTTTTCAAAGTTGAGCCAGGGATGGAGTTACTCTTTAAAACACGGGATTAGAGCTAGTCAGTGTGTGGACTCATTGCTCTTGGGTGCCCTCTGTGGTGCAGTACAGACCTCCTGTTGAAAAATTCACCAGGGTGAGTTTATATAACAAAAACATGACTGTAAACACAAGAGGGCGCCTGTGAGCGAGTCCTCAATAAATGGGGCGAATACAGTAGCTAGAAACAAACAAACAAAAATAGCCATTCCTGTTAAACATCCCTTCATTTTGGAAGTGTGACGATGTATTCCACTAAAAAAATTAAAGAAAATTACTATCAACATTTTGCCTCCTCTCTTCTGCAAAAAAATAGGACGCTAGCAAAGTAACTGGAGTTCAGAAACGAGTGCATTTTTCTGTGTGAGAATTCATTTTTTTACAAACTAAGCTCCATACAAACCCTTTTATCTTGGACCTGCTCATGAGCGCCCTCTAGTGTCTGACATATCCAGAGGATTTCATCTCCAACTCAGGGACGCGGGATGATTTCTTCATTCTTCAACTGCAGCTGAAACAGAAAAATAACACAAGAGCACAGCTTTAAGTGGATTTAAGCATAGCAAACGCCCGTGTGTCCACTCACTGTCCACTCTATTAGACACTCCTACCTTGTCAGTCCACCTTGTAGATGTAAAGTCAGAGACGATAGCTCATCTGCTGCTGCACAGATTGTGTTGGTCATCCTCTAGTCCTTCATCAGTGGTCACAGGACGCTGGTCACAGGACGCTGCCCACAGGACGCTGTCGGCTGGATGTTGTTGGTTTTCAGTCCGGCAACGACACTGAGGTGTTTAAAACTCCAGCATCACTGCTGTGTCTGATCCACTCAGACCAGCGCAACACACACTAACACACCACCACCACGTCAGTGTTACTGCAGTGCTGAGAATGATCCACCACCCAAATAGTACCTGCTCTGTGGGGGCCCTTGGGGGGTTCTGACCGTTGAAAAACAGGGTAAGAAGGTACAGTGAGTGTAGATACACGGAGGTTGACCTATTGAAGTGGCCAGTCAGTGCATGATAGCTTCTTGGCTAACATCACAGCCGTTTTAGAAACAATCAAAAAAAGAATAAAACTGTGTTTACAGTACGCTGCAGTTGAAACTAGGTTTGATTAATGCTGCTCTTTTTTCTCAAGGCTTTGCCCCACAAAATGCCTGAACACAGGCCTGGTTTGTGTTGTTTACATTAGCAGACATCAGGTATGCTAACTCCAGAGGATGCTAACCACAGCACAGTACAGCGCTCTGTTTGCAGTGATCATGAGGACGTTTGAGGCATCATCATACACAGGCATGCTGCACAGACCAATTACAGCCTTCACCTTACTTTACCAGAGCCGTACTGTGTACTTCAGAAAGTTCTTTGTATGCTAGAACACACTACTGTAGTGCTACTGCTGCGCTCTTCTGGAATAGCTGGCTGGGCTGTTTAACTGCATCTTCCCTCAAACTCAACTGAGAATGCAAAAATTAAGCAAATGCTTTTTTACACCGCTGCAGACCTGCCGTGCCTAATCAGGGCCAAAAACAGAGCAAAGGCTCAAATCTGACATACATAAAAGAGATTTTGTAGCCGTCAGGCAGACGTCAGCAAAAATGCTGATGCTAAAAGAAATTTCAGCCTGCTCTGCTTCACAAACTGCTCTAATTTTTTCCGAAAATATCATATTTTGTTGACATTGCTTTCATCAAAGGTAGATTAGCATTTGTGTAGTTTTTAATAATTGAAAAATATTCTAGTTCTGAAAGAAAACGCACAGATCTAAAGTAATATTGTTTGAAATGTGCACATTTTTATATTATTAATAATCTCAAATTGTATTTTTTTGTGTAGCACCTTGTTAAAGGTTTGCACAGTGATTCACAGAGCGATCAAAAACACAGACAATACATTTAGTAACAAAAAAATGAGTAAAACTGGGGATAAATGGCAATAAATGATAATGGAGCTAACAATTAAAAAGACAGTAAAATTCAGTAAACTGAGGAAAAGGTGACTTTTTTTACAAAACAAAACAAAAAAAAAACGTTATATGTTTAATCCTACATTTAAAACACCTCATTCAGCTCATAGAGATCTTTTTTACAGATGGCTACAGGCTGCAGATGGTTTGATTTCCAATGTTTTTTTAATTGTGTATTGTTTTATGTAAACAGAGAGAAGAAGCGATGACCCTGGTTTTGTCCATGAACCCCTTCTGTGATCATGAGGCTGAAGCCCCGCCCCCAATCTACCAGCCAATCTGGGAGTCAGAACACTGCAGCAAGAGCTGTGTCTCCACCCCCACGCCAACAGGGGGCGACGCCCAGGAGCTCATGGACGGTGAGTGAACTGCAGTGCACGCTTATGAACTCATTTGACCCAGAGATTCTCGAACACAGGCATGTGACACTGGGAACCAAAGTACTGTGGAGATCAGCGTTTACCCTCATCTACCACTCTGAATTCAGTTCATGGAGGACGTGCTAATTAGCTGATGAGCTGGATCAGGGGCCGTATTACAGATCATTCTTAAGTATGAGATCATATCTGCTTTGTTGTCATGGTAACTTCAGTTAAGACTGAATTTAGGACAGAAGCTATTATAGAACAACAGTTCTTAGGTCTATAATCTTATTTCCAGATTAGAAAACGGTTTTACAGAAACATCCTAAGTTTCCAAAATGTCCTAAATATTTTCTTAACTTTAAGATGAACTCCAGAGAGTCTTAACTTCTGTTTAACTGTCTGTTTCTATTGTTTAATGCAGTGACGCAGCTCAGTTCACTATAACTGACATAATGACGCCACATTTATCTACACTGAAAACGCTGCTTTGACTTGTGAGGTTTTCTTTCTATCAGCGGTTTTTAAGATCTCAGACGCTGCAGACTCGATCTCCACCGCCCCTCTGATTACCTTCGTGTGTTAATGTTGATGATGAAATATTACAGTGATGGTGGTGAATAATGAGGAGACGGAGCTGAACGTGTGTCTGTTTATTAGGAGGAGTAACGTTAGCGCGCTCGGCTAAAGCGTTTGGGAAATGGAGACTGAAACTGGGGAGCGGCGACGCTCTGATAAACAGCAGGGGGCGCTAAAACAATATTCTTAACTTTCAGTTTATCGCTTTAGTTTTATTTGACCGTGTTTCCCAAAAAATCCAAAAAAGCCTGAGGATTAAAGCTCCTAAAGCACTGAGTTCCCCTAAAGAACTGCAGTGGAACTTCTTCATTAGAGGAACTGAAGTTTTGCGGTTCTGTTCTGCTCTCAACAGTAAAGCAGAACAGGAGCTGAGCCAGCACAAGAAATGAAACCCAAAAGTACAAATCCCATAAAACTCTACATCCAGCTGTCCATCAGTGGTCCAACAGCTCTGAAGTGTGGATCTGTCTCTGTGTGCTAATCCTTTTTTCTTTCTTATTCTTCTTTTTTTTTGATCTAGAGCCGCCCTGTAGGCGAGTCCCAGATCCTGTGACCATGTCCCGGATCGCTTATTTTAAGAGGAAATACGTGGAGGACGATGATCTTCCGCTTGGCTTCAGGAGTTACTGCCACACTGTGAGTTCGTCAGCAGTGCTAATACTGCCTAAAGACTAAACCAGCATTCAGCAAACCTGACATCACATTATGTACCTGTCAATATTTGTAAGTGATCAGAATGAAAGAAAGAAAGTTTACTGATTCAGCCACATTTACATTTTCATATTTATTCATTTAAAAAATTGGGTTTAAAAAATTACATTTATTTATTTTATTATCTTTAAAAATTTCAGCATGTGCTACAAAAAATTGAAAAATTGAAATTGGTCAAAAGTGGTTTAATTGATTAACAGTCCTACACCACCATTCAGGGACCCATTAACCCCACGTATTCACTTAATTATATATATATATATATATATATATAATATATATATGGCTCTGGGGACCATTTATGTGTGTATGTATGTATTTATTTATTACAAAATTTCATGTTGTATTTTGTAATTTGTATGTAATTATGTAAATTGCGTCTAAAGCTTATATACACCCTGATTTCTACTGCTCCTTTTCAATCATTTAAGGACAAACACCAAATATTTGAAGTGTATTTGTTTACATAAATGAGAAAATAAAAAATATCAGCTCAAAGTGGTTTAAATAATGAATCGTCCGACCTCACTGAGTTCTCCCACTGCTGCTCTGTAATTCCCCTCCCATCCTGCAGGTGTCCCCAGTGTTGGAGGAGCACGCTCACGTCCTTCGTCTCTCTCTGGAGAAGATGCGCTTCATCGACGACCCTGAGGCGTTCCTGCGGCGCTCCGTCCTCATAAACAACCTCCTGCGGCGCCTGCGGACGGAAATCCTGCTCCAGAGGGACTGGCGATTCCCGCCGGGACCTGTCGGCATGGCGACCGCATCCCCGGTCCACCCTCATCCGTCCGCCAGCGTCCCGGCAAACCCGAACCGCAAGAGGCTGCGCGTGCTGAGGGCCGAGGAGGCCGAGTGCGTCCCGGCGTGCTGCTGTTTGTACACGGCTGGACAGTACCTTCAGCTGCCGCTCTGCGTTTATGAGGGCGCGAATTCTAACCTTCAGCCTTCGTCGTCATCATCATCGTCGTCGTCGTCGTCATCCTCCTCCTCCAGTGAGCTTTTGGAGGACGAGCAGGACAGCGACGGAGACGAAGGCCTGGACTCCCTCTGTCCAGGTCTGGACCTTTGCGAAGCTTCGTTTAGGGCAAAGAAAGAGAGGGAAAGAGAGAGAGAGAGGGCCAGGACGCGGGTCAGGGTCAGAGAGGAAGAGGACGGAGCGAGAGGAAGTGAAGTTTATCTTCACTGCACCCCACTGGCGCATAATTTAAAAAAGACAAGAGTTAGAAATAACGTAGCGTGATGAAAAGGTGCGCACTGCAAAAAAAACTCCTGGCATTAATGTTTATTGGCAGATAACAAACAAAGCAAAAATAAACAAATAAACGCCTGAAGGAATAAAAATGGTCTGGGGTAAATTATCCTCTTACCAGACAAGTATATCGTTGTTGTGTCTCCAAACTGATAACTTTACAGGAAAAATGCTCTTAAATTTTATTGTAAATTAATACAGTGAGATTTTAATCTAAATAATTTGGGATTATTTCTTTTGGTCCATTTATGCTGAATTTTTCACATAAAGCGAAGGGCAGCTGGAGTTTTCAAATCCTGTAATAAAAAGACAAAAATATATGCAAGGTTTTGTTCTGGCAGTGACGATGTGGACCACTACTGAATTAGTTCAAACTGCAGGCCCACGGTAAAATAAAATTATTTACAAAAGCAGTGAAGTATTCAGACCTTACATATTTACAGGGATTATGTTCTGATATGTTTAAACCCAATGCATTAATAGAGATAGTAATAAGCTAAACATGTACACAGTCATCATTTATAGGGTTCTTTTTACTGTGCGGAGTCTGTTCTAAACCCTAACCCCCAAATTTACACTTGTGAAAATAATACTCACATTTTTTATTTTTGTTTTTAAAAAAGTGAAGGTGAAAGATTTAGATTTATCATAAGTTCAATTTCAATTTAAAAACTTTATTCAAAAAAAAATTTGATGTGACTACCAAAACACAAAGAGTTTTACTGTGTAGCCTTATTTTAGCCACGCCCCTGCATTTTAGAGCAGGAAGTGAGGCTGCATCCCTGTCCCTCATGGCCAAGATCAGTTAAAATTCCCAAATCCGTTTCAGGTCTGACTTTGAACCAGTTCAGTAGACTCACCCATATACAGTCTATAAGTGGTGAGAGTGACTGTTAGAGCCAGACTGTCAGTTTGGGCAATAAAAGTCAAAACCTGATCAAAAACATGGTAAAAAACACCTGTACGATAACGATTTCTGCTAGAACCCCTGTGTGATTGTAGGAGTAGAATGTTAGCGCTAAGCTATCAGCTATTTACATGTTTTGAAGCTTGTAACGGACATTATCATAGAGCTTGTATATATCAGTTTTACAGTGACTCTCTCAGTAAAAAGCTCTGCTGCCGCTGTTTTCCATTCCTAACAACCAACCGAAACCTTGTTACAGCTCCTATTCACAGTCTGTGACGTATCTAGAACTTCCAGAATACATACACCAAGTGTGCTGATTAATAAATAAACGTTTCGTGGAAATGATTAGGCCGCCTCTGCAGCTCTGAGAGTTCCCCACTTAAACTTATCGCTGAATTTGAGACGCTTCACTTGCTAAGGAGTGATTTTTTTGCAGTGTAAGTTTGGCCGCCAACCTGCTACCAGTCAGATCCGGCACTGGTCTGCGCTCAGAAAGCTTAAAGCAGGAGAAAGAGGGAGGAAAACCAGAGGGTGAGAGAAAGGGAGATGACCCCAATGGATGTTGTGAAAATGGGACACCAGGGGGTGCTCGTTTGGACAGTTGGGGAGGAAATAGCAATTACCTGGTTGCTATGGAAACAGGGTTGGACATGTTGCTGTGGAATGAACCGACAATGGCTGGATGGACCAACCGTGGCTGACCATTAGACAAGAAAAGGAATGGTCTCCCAGTGACCATGAATGCAGTCCACGTGTTTATCGTACAGGGTGTGACCTCTAGTCATTTAATGACTTCAGTCCGGTCTTTTATTTTTCTGCGGGACTTTAAACGAACACATACAAGAAAATCCAAGTTTTAAGGTTTATTGCAAAGAGCTCTTACTGAACTAAAGGAATAGTTTGACGAAAAAACTACGTTGAGTCTCACTTCCTCCCCCTGCACTGCTGCACTTACAAACAAAAAGCTTTAGTTAGCTACAAACTTAAAAAGATGGTTCTCCAAAGGTTCTTTAGTAAAGGCAATGACTCCATTTAGAACCGTTGACTCTATGTAAAATCATTGCATGCTTAAATCACTATTTTACTAGTTGTGGGCTGGAGGTTAGGGAACCAGCCTTGATCCCCTGAGACGACAGTACGTGACTGAAGTGCCCTTGAGCAAGACACCTAACCCCCAACTGCTCCCCGGGCGCTCCGGATAGGGCTGCCCACCACTCCGGGGAAAGTGTGCTCACTGCCCCCTAGTGTGTATGTTCACTAGTGTGTATGTGGTGTTTCACTGCATGGATGGTTCAAAATGCAGAGGTGAAATTTCCCCGTTGTGGGACTAATAAGGGTCACTTAATCTTAATTAATCTTAATTTGCATAGTCAAATTATTATTCAGATTGATGGAGAATATATAGCACCAAAAAGGGTTCTGCTACTGCGATGATGTCAATCTTGTAACAATAGCAGAACCATTTTAGGTACTATGTAGAACCATTTTCAAAAAGGTGCTATACAGAACCATATACAACACATTCTCCATCAATTGAAGAACAAATTCTAAATAGAACCTTTGCCTTTACCAAACAACCCTTAAAGAACCATCTTTTTTAAATGTGTGGCTAAGATAAAATATTCACATTCTGCTGTTAGCCTCACGTTATTATTTTCTTCTATTGGTTCTATATAGCACCGCAAAGGGTTCTTCTATTGTTAGAACCCTTAATGTTATGTAGAACCATTTTCAAAAATGTGCTATATAGAACCATATACAACACATTCTCTATCAGTCTGAAGAACCATTTCACCATGCAAAGAACCATTTAAGCATGCACATGATTCTATATAGAACTCATGGTTCTAAAGAAAAAAATTGCCTTTACTAAAGAACCTTTAAAGAACAGTCTTTTTTAAGAGGTCTAGCTGAGATAAAATATTCACATTACTGGTGATCAAATTTAAACATTCTGTAGCAATAATTCTTACAGTGGATGTTAGGAAGCTAACTTTAGCTACAAGAGCCAACGTACCTTTGGGGCAACAACAGTTCTGTATGGCTACATCTAATATTAACATGAGCTAACATTAGATAACTAATCCGTCCTGCTCCACTTCATTTATCTGGTCGTTTAGAGCGATGAAAGCAAGGCTAACGAAGTTAGCGCTGACAGAAAGGATTGTCCTCTCATCAGGTTACTTTCTTCTTTTTCTGCTTGATAGTTTTTCATTTTTCAAACAAGCGTTTTTGCCTCACACCACCAGAAGGGCTGTCCCAGATCGCGAGCACATATCGGTCCGCTGGCATGATAAGGTCGGCACCCTACTGATGGTTTACCACTTCTGGTCCACCCTGGGACCACCTAGATTATTGTCCTGCATACAAACTCTACCCCCAAACATTTTAAATGCAAACAGCCATTAATTTTAGAAAATAAACTTAAACAAATATTACAAACAACTGAGAGAAAAAAAACAATGATTAGACCTGATATAACATGATTTTGTAGAAAATGTTGTTGCTGATGCTGTGCTCGATTAAAAATGTAAAAAAAGTACTAATTACTTTACAAATGATGTCTTAAGCAAAATAACTGATGTGGACTGTAAGTGGAAAATGAGTGGGGAGATGTGGAATTTGGTCTAATACTCTGCTTAACCACTGGTGGACCACCCAGAAAACACTGAGCATAATGCCAGTGGACCACCAGCTTCACCATCAGTGTGCCGACAGTGGCCCACTACACTCTTGCTGTCAGGGGTATTAGAGATTTTAGCCAAAACCTATTCACATTGCAGCTAAATCAAACTATAAATTAGCCAGCTAGCTGTTTAATGTAGAACACAGACATTAATCTGTTGTTACTAGCTAGACTAGCTAGCTAGCGAGGCAGTTTGGAGAGCTAATGGTAGCTAAAATAATGCAGGGCTAACTAAACTGTAGCGTCACCTGAGTCTCCTCTGTCAGCTCCTTCAGGCTTGTAGATTAAGTTATGGCATTGGTGAAGTTGTTGGAGCCAATTTTTGGTTATACATTTTACATTTTATTTGGTTTCCAGTTTTGTCCGAAGTAGTTGGTGTGCATGTTGTGGAGGAGCACAGTATGTCACACACTGTGAGAACATGAATGCGAGCAAACCTGAATGTTGCTCAGTGAACTTTGGAGAAGTTCCCAAAAAGAGTCAATTCTCCAATTCCAGGCATTTGGGAATCAAGAATCGACTCTTTTTGGGATTGTAGGGAGTAGATCCTCCCTATTGACATCTAGCTTATGTTGAAAGTAGGGGGCAAAAACTGGATTTTGAAATGATGGAAACTATGTCTATGTGTCATACATGTCAGAAACCACGTAAGGGGAATATACTGTAATTTTTTTGGTCAAACTATTCCTTTAATATAGGATGAAATTCACAGCACATTTACAGATACCTAGTTTCTCTGTATAAACGACCAAATGGTGCCTTATTTTCTTATTCTTTCAAATGTATGTACAGTCCACGGCCGTGTTTGTGAGTACATATTGTTGAGAAACTGTACCATAACGTTCATGCCAAGACAAGACCCTGCTGGGGGTCTGCTGATATCTGTGAAAACATTATGTAGCATGATGAAGGGGTGCGTGTTGCAAAGATGAAATCATAATTAAAAAATTCTCCCCCATCAGCACAGAATCTTTGAAAGCAAATGCTCGAAGTAAGAAAAATGATCAGCGAATAAGAAGAGGACTTTTCAATTGATATTTAGTCTATTTAGTAAAGTGTGACAGATGACAACATTCATCCCATGAGGACAGTTTAAACTTTTCACAATTTCAAGACGCAAAGGTTTGATTTTTAGCAGTGTAAAGTTATGACAGCCTGAAACTCGTCTCATCCAGCATTAGTCTGCGCTTATAAACAGTCTCAAAATGCGGGGAAACTGATTCAGGATCAGTCTGTGCTCAGTTTAGTACATAAACAATGAAAGCAGTCTGCAGTATATCAACCTAATCCCTGTTCCCCACGATGTCAGTTGAATATTGAGGACTTTAAGCATCGACGGTTGTAGAGACGGTCAAGGCGACGAGAAATTGCAGAGATTACTCACACAGAAATACTATATATATGGCCATATATGGGCATGTATTATAAAAGATCAGGCATATATTTCAAAATATATGTTCAGATATCGCTGCTGTCAAAAGAAAACCTCGTATCTCCATTTTTGTCGTTTTTTAGTTTTTGACATAATCTGAAAATGCCTGTTGCCCTTTACATTGTCTGTACATTTCATGATGAATGGACAAACAGAAACGGCCCAAAATGACTTGGACACTTACATTAAAAGTGAAGTAGGTTTTTTTCTTCTCCTGTAAAGTTTCCATTTTGGAGATATGAGGTTTTCCTCTGACAACAGCGATATGTAAGTATCAAATATCAAAATGAAGTGCACCAGAAGCATACATTCAATGAAAAGACTTTACATTGTATAACAAGAAACTAGCATAAATGAACACTGTATTGCATCCGTACAGTACTCTATATGAGTAATGTCTTCTTTAGTATATGTTTTAAATATGTGTTACACACATTCTACACATTCTACAGAAACGTCCACTTTTCTGTCTGTCCATAGGGGTCACTGGTGTTTACTAAATGGCTGCTGCAGAGCATCAAACCACATGTTGTCAATCATGGAATATCCACTAAAATATGGAATTTAATCCATTTGTATTCTATTTTTTTTACAGTTACCTCAGAATAAAGTTGGTCACACCAGTGACTTCAGCTAAAAGCTTCATATGAAATCATGAGCTAAATGAGAAAATCTCTGATAACTGAAAGACACAGTGGACTCACCATGAGCTTCTCTTCATAGATCCTCAGAAAACAGGCAAAAGGAAGTTGAGTGATGTCATCAGTGTGACTTTTACTTTCAAAATAAGAGATTTTTGTGTTATGCAGTAACACCAGTGACACGACTCCTGGGGACCACAACTTTCATTGTATATTTTATAATATTTATTCGGCATTTGTTTTCTTTATATAATTTAATTTATATATTGCATATATGGACAAGCACCTTTGTGGTGTTTGGAATTCTATATGATTGATTTAAAAACCAATATTGCTAAACTGAGGCTCAAGAAGGTTTAATTGTTAAAATAACTTATTGTTTTATTTTAGAATATAAATAAATTGTAACCCTAAAATGTTTTTGAAGTGTAATATCTGTAAACGCTAGGGACAGAAAAATGGACGTTTCTGTAGAATGACCCAGATATAAACACCACTGTATTAAAAAGACACAATGGATTCTAATATAGTCCTTTGCAAATGTGGCTACTGCAGCTTGGTGAACTGAAGACATGAGAAGACATTAATAGGGTTTTAATAGAATACGCTACAAGGACGCCAAGAATGGCCTTCTCAGCTGCCATAGTTGCAATGCTAGCGTAATACAACAGAGTGCTCAATGCACCATTGTTTATGTTTAAATAAACGTTTTGCCACGTTTTGTACAGGCGAACGCAGCCCAGGTGAACAGCCTACGACCCACTCCCTGTCAAAATGTGCCAAAAAGGTTCCAGAAGCAAAAAATGTGTCAGCAAAATCAGTTAAGAGAAAAAATGAAAGTAAAAACTGGAAAAATAAGTAATACATGTAAATCAAAATGAGTGTAAATCTTCTCATTTAGTTCTAATTTTTTGTATTTGTCACAAATTTGTGACATTTTGATTGAGTATATTTTGTTTGTGGATTCTAAAACATTCAGGTAGCGTCTGATTGGTCCAACCGTCCCTGCAGCTGAGATGCTGAAAGTCTCTAATAGTTCGCTGCATCCAGACCATGAAGGTACAAAACTGCTATTGAAATTTATTCCAGAGCAGAGCAGAGGTTGGTCGTCTACTCTTGTCTCAGCCTCGAGGACTCGGTACACACAGCACCTCTGCACTGCTGTTCTTCATCGTTCACTGTTTATATTATATTTGTTGTTATTGAGTCTCTCCGTCTGTGATCATCTCAAACTCTGAGAAGGAACAAAAAAGGAAGAGCCCCATAAACTATTAAAAACCTGTTTGTCTCACAGCTTCAACAGAATACCGTTTGAAATTTCAGCATTGTTCAGTTTCGATGTGAATTTTTTTTCTGTGAAATGTCAAAAAAGAAGAATAAAGGAATGTTCTACAGCTGTTTTCCGTTTTTTAATAGAACTGCTTGTTTCCTTGTTTGCATTTACTTCTGAAATTCACTGCATATTTTTTGTATGAGTGTTTCTTTGTACAGCACATTTTTCAGAGTCAGTCCTAAAAATAACAATAAAATACACAACTTATCAAATACACAATACATCCATCCATCATCTAAACCGCTTATCCTTCTGGGTCGTGGTGGGGTGCTGGAGCCTATCCCAGCTGTAAATACACAATACAGACACATACAATTAACAACATTACACTACCAATCAGAAACTTGGAATCAATTGTTAATGATTTAGTAATATATTGATAATATTTAATACTATTAATAATGTGCTTTACTTTATATGCAATAATACCTTACATTACGTAGATTTAAATCAAAACTAGAAACCAAAACATTGTTTTTCAATATTACAAGAATGTTCAGCTTATATTGTAAATTGCACACTACTATGATGCATTTATCATAATTTTAACAGTAAATTATCTACCTTGAAGTTATATCACCACTTTTCAAACATAACACATACTGGGTGTTAAATCTTTCTTTCTTTCTTTCTTTCTTTCTGTCTGTCTGTCTGTCTGTCTTTATTTATTTATTTATTAGCAATGCTAAACAGCT